AATGGCAGAAAGTGAAGAGGACCTAAAGAGCCTCTTGCTCAGGGTAAAAGAACCTTCTTGGTTTCGAAGTCTGAAGAAGCAGGCTGTTTCCCTGATTCAAAGGTATACTGAAGAGTAGAGATGGCTGTTTAAGGAGTCTTTTAAAATGCCCTGGTTGATAGGGCCTGGGGGAACTGTCGTTCATATCACATTCCTTTCCCAACCATTTCCCTTCCTCCTCCTCAGAAGTGAACTCAACTGACTGTCATGCCAGGTTGCACCTCTTCCCTGTCTGGCTCCCTCTTGGAGTGGGTCTTGGTTTACTTTGTGTTGATCTACAGTGTTTGCTGGGGATGGGGTGTCTTTCAGAATGAGGAAACCCTCTGTCTGCACCTGGTCATTTATAGGACCTTTCTTTACTAGAGTGTTTGTCCCCTTTTCTTTTTGTGGAAGATGAAGTAGATGAGGAAGGGGACCCAGGAGGAGGAGAGGGACCCACGCTGCTCTGATCGCCCCCGTGCCTGAGAGCTCTCTGATGGCGTTTGTCTTCCCCCCTTCGGAATGAATGCCAGAGTTCTACCACGGCCCCCCCCCACGCCCCCCAGTGAGTGGCAGGGTTTCCTCAAGAAAACATTGGCCAGGAAATTCATTTTTGGCACTGCAAATCTTACTATCCTGAAATTAGTAGCCAAGTCTAGAACCCTTAGCTTTATTTTCTGACTAGAAGAATGGGCCATTGTGGCAATGGAGAAAGCGGGCTGTAGAAATAGGCTGTGGGCGAGTGGCCTGGGCTTGAGGAGTCTTTTTACCATCAGTTTGCCAGGCGCACTCCGAGGCCGGCCACTCCAAGCGAAGAAGTGGCGCCTTCCAGGATGGGCTGGCTCTGGAGATTGACATTACCTGCAGAGGCGCCTTGGTGGCGCTATGCAAACCGGGAGTGCGGGCGGCCAAGGAAAGGGAAGCAGCAGCTGAGACGGGGGCAACAGCTCTATGCAGGCATTGCTCCGTGTGCGGGTGTGTGTGGCTGCAAGACTGCGCTCCAGCGGCAGGTGAGGCGCCCAGGTCCGTCCCTCTTTCCCCAATGAGTGTTAGCTTGGCCGGCTGGTTGCAGGCCCGTCTCCTTCCCCAAGAGGGCCGGCCTCATCCTTCCACCTCGCGCAGGCAAGACCCTGGTGGGCCAAGCCGCCAGGCCTCACCCGTCCTCCCACCCCTGCCAGCCAAGGCATGTGACCTCATCCCCTTGCTTACTGGAGGGGTGAGGGAACAGGCTCCCTGCCTGGCTGCCTAGACACTGGGCCGTGTGGGGCACTGGCGTGGCGGGTGAGGCAGCCTTGTCGAGCCATGTGGAAAAGGTACTGGCAGTCAGCGATGCAGTGCTGGGGCCTGCGGACGCACAACATGTGGGTGTCTCCCTCTTCTGTGGCAGGCATGGCCTGCATGGAGCCAGCCACCGTCCCTCAGGCCCGGTGGTATGCCACTGTCTCCCGTCTCCCCCAGACCCCAGGGGGGAGGTGTGAGGGAACAGGCCGCTGCCGCCTCCCTGCTCGGCCACCTCCGGTGCCTTTACAGGCGGCTGGGCCGAGGCAGTCCATGTGGGCCTGGCCCTCCTCTGTGGCCAGCTTGCCTGGGGGCCCGGAGTGCAAGCAAGGGCGTGGGGCCGACACTGCCCCCTGGCTGCCGCAGCTCATCAGCTCTGACCGAGTCCTGTACCTTGTGGTGGAGTGGCGGCAAGTGAAGGAGGTGTTGTGGTGGCCGCCATCCAAGCAAGGCGGTGCTGCCTCCCATCAGACGCAGTGCCACTATGCCCCCCGTCTGGGCCTGCAGGTTGAGTAATTAATGCTGTGCAATGAATGCTGTTGCCTCATGAAAACCCAATTAACCTATTTGGAATAAGACTGGCAGTAACTCAAACATCACTGTTTGGTTTAAAGGCAATCAACACTATTGTCCGCATGGCACGGATCAGGTATGCCTGTCACACTAGAGAAAGAAGGCCATGGGTGCTTTTATATGAGACACCTGTTCCCATAATCATGTTTAAACTACAGCTGGCAAGCAAAGCTCTCTGTCTTCGTTGTCTGTCACCTTTGTGGCCTTCTTGCCAGCTTTAAGAGACCAAGCTTCATCTGCAGAAGCAATTCCTTTTTCTTAGCAAGCCTACCTTGTAAATGACACCAACACACACTCCTTTTGTTGATCTGTCTCTGTGTTAACCCTGCATAGATTCAAGGAAACATATAGCAAAGGAAAGCCTGAAGCTCGGGATGCCAGCAGTCTTAGGTCTTACTAAACATTACTAAATGCAAAGCATATCTCAGCAACAGTAGACGATATGTTATATGTGCCTTTGTGATCACAGTAACCCTACCATGCAGGCCTCTTGAGGCTCACCTGATTTTTAAAAGACAAGCATGAGCTTTTGGCAACCAATCTGGGATTCACTTTGTAAGTCCAAAGTATGTTTGAATCATGTAGCTTTATTTTAGAACAATGGTAAGGGAGAAAAGTATTGAAGCATTCACGACCTGATTGACTTTGTTACTGTAATTATATGTAACCGTAATTGTGCAGTGGAAATTAAAAAAAACAACACCCCACAGTGCTATTTTCAGAGGGGTTTGCTCATGTCTGTAACTTTCAAACCGCCTCAGGAATATGGACTCTTGAGGGTGGACCCTGTCAAAGATTTTCACAAATGGAAATGGGAGGGGATTTTCCCTGATTGTCCTCTCCCATTCCTTTGACTCCCTCCTTAGACAGTTCGGGACAGGGGGCTATCAGAAACAGCATTTTGGAAGACATACTGGGTTGCGGGGGGAGTGCAGCCAGCAAGGTCTACTCAACTGATGGAAATCCCTTGGGTCACTTACAAGTTCTCTCAGAGCTGTTCTCTCAAGGACAGTTCTTGAAAGAGCTCTCTTAGCCCCACTTACCTCACAGGATGTCCTGTTGTGGGTAGGGGAAGGGAAAGGAGATTGTAAGCCACTCTGAGTGAAGGGTGGGGTATAAATCCAATCTCTTCTTCATCAGTGGAAATTTTCCGTGGGAACCAAGCCTTTGCCTAGAATGTCACACAGCTGACAACAGAGATCCCTGACTAAAGATGACAGGAACACTGAAGTGTGGAGGCAAAGTGGTGGAAGGATATGATAACACACATCGACCCAAAGACCGTAAGAATCTTCCCTTTGGAACAGTACTCTGAAATAATCATGGTCCTATCAAAAAGGTACACATGTGCCAGAGGATAAATGGTAATTGAAGAAGTAAAAGAGTTGGATTTATACTCGAGCCTTCACTCAGAGCAGCTTACAATCTCCTCTCCCTTCCTCTCCCCACAACAGACACCCTGTGAGGTAGGTGGGGCTGAGAGAGCTCTGAGAGAACCACTCTTGAGAGAACAGCTCTGAGAGAACTGTGATTGACCCAAGGTCACCCAGCTGGCTGCATGTGGAGGGGGGGGATTAAACCTGGTTCTCCAGATTAAGAGTCCGCGGCTCTGAACCACTACACCAGATTGGCTCTCCAGGGACACCCAGAGCCCACGGTGGCTGCAGAGTTCTTAGTTCCACCTCCCACCAGTGTCTTCCTGAGGTGAATTTCTCATGGCCCAGCGCACTATTCACTGTTAACTTCAAGCATCTCATTTCTAGTCACAATGTCAGCGTACTTTAAAAGGGCTAAATTTCCACCTGCCATGAGGAAAATTTAAAGGCAGAAGAGGCAAGTTAGTACAGATTCTATACACTGGCATCCCTCTTGGCCTGCAGGTGAAAGATTCTATGGTCTGTCAACAGGAAAGCCAGTGACAGTGGAGATCCTTACTTAGCCATTACTGCCTAATGAGATGTTCCCAATGTAAAGCCCCCCCCCGCTACTGTTTGCCCCACGGATCAAGCTGCCGCTTCAGCAGCGAGAGAGAAACGGATATTCTGTCATCTCTTTCTGGAGTTGTAGAACCCATCATGGTGATCACTCTCCTCAAGATTCAGCATTTCAGTGTGTTTGTTCTCCCAATGAAGAAATAGGGACGGAGCACGTCCCCAGAGAATGTGGTTAAAGGGAAAGTGAAGAGCTTTTCATTTGTAGCACTAGAAAAAAACTCCACACGACCCTCTTCATAGTCCAGGAGCACCCGGATCTTTTGGGGAATGGCGTTTGGTAAATTGCCTGATTGAGGGGAAGTCGAGGCACGTAGGTACCAGGATGATCTACCACAAGAAGTATCATACAGCGTTACCGTCTGCACAATCCAGAATCCTTCATCAGGATTAAGGGTGATATTTCCTTTCCTCTTCACTGACTCTCTAGCGACACCCACAGACCACACTGCCTGTCCATTCCCCATGTCCACCTCCCACCAGTGTCTTCCTGAGGTAAATTTCTCACGGCCCAGCACACTATTCAGGGTATCAAATCTCTCCGCATTGTTGGGCAGGTCCTGCACTGTCCCTCCCCCTGTCAGAGTCTTCAGATCTTCAGACAGAATGAGGCTGGGATGTGCCGTTTCTCGATCCAGAGTCACGTTCACTGTGGGGCAGAGAAAGAAGAGGCTTTTTGGAGACTACTATCCAGTAGCACCTTAGAGACCAACAAGAGTTTCAGGGTGTAAGTTTTCAAGAGTCAAAGCTCCCTTTGTCATCTCTAAAGTGTTACTGGACTCAAATCTTAACTGTTCTACTGCAGATCAACACAGCTACCCCGAGAAACCATCAGGGAAAGGGGTCATTGTCAGCTACTAAAGACCAAGTCAGAAAGCCTCCTTTCGGGAAGGTCCAAGGGGGTTAGCGTGGGATTCAAGATGGAGGCACAAG